TATATATAAGAATCATGTATATAGTGTAAAAAATGGTGCAGCATTCTCCATGAATGACTGTACAGAAAAAAAACAGACATGTACACAAAAACATATTTCGCAGACATATAGTAGTTCAGAAATCAAAACAAGATATACACTTTTGCTTGTAGATACCACGTTTACATACTAGTAAATACCTTAATCAAAACTGAAAAATTTTCTAGGATATGATGTTACTAATATGGCAAATCCAGTGAAAGTGCTTATTGTAGCAATACAGCAATTTGACTTGCAGGTAGACTGATAAAAAAGTCATATGACTTTTTGTGCCATGACTTTTTGTTTTACATAAAAATGGTGGAAAAAAGACAGCACTACCCACTTCTTGGCTAACGGTGCTGAGGTTTTCCTGTTGTTTGAACAACCCGGTTACTCCTTTGATATCTTGGATACCTTATATACAAGCGTACATTGTCAGTGTCGTGCGCTTTATATAAGAATCATGTATATAGTGTAAAAAATGGTGCAGCATTCTCCATGAATGACTGTACAGAAAAAAAACAGACATGTACACAAAAACATATTTCGCAGACATATAGTAGTTCAGAAATCAAAACAAGATATACACTTTTGCTTGTAGATACCACGTTTACATACTAGTAAATACCTTAATCAAAACTGAAAAATTTTCTAGGATATGATGGTACTAATATGGCAAATCCAGTGAAAGTGCTTATTGTAGCAATACAGCAATTTGACTTGCAGGTAGACTGATAAAAAAGTCATATGACTTTTTGTGCCATGACTTTTTGTTTTACATAAAAATGGTGGAAAAAAGACAGCACTACCCACTTCTTGGCTAACGGTGCTGAGTATATATATGTGTGTATGTATGTATGTATGTATGTATATACTGCCTGGCGTGATCGTTCTCTTACCTTGACCTCACCCTGAAATAGATGCCTGAATTACATACACACAAACACCCGCACAAAAGTGTAGCTTTCCCCATTACGTGACGAGAGCCTGGCGCTGAAAAAAGATCTATTACACCGTCACAGTGCACTTGAGAGAGCAGTCTTCCTGAACGAAGAACAAAGGTTGATGGGCCCTAGAAGGACAAGTGTTCTACAAAACACTGTCTCAAACCGGCTGTTAACAACTGCACTCTAGTTTAAACAAGCCATCTACACGGGGACACACTGAAGGCCTTTTCTCTCCACTTCGCTCTTCATTGTGATAAAAATCGACAGACGTTGGCACAAGGGCCTGTTATTGTGTAGAACTGTTTACCTAGTGAAGCTGATAGGATCTTTTTATCAGCCTTTCGATGCACATCCTGAAAGTGCTTGCGAGTTTATTTCTGTTCAGTATTTGATCAGTTCGATAGTGTGAGTCAAAACACACTTTTTGTTAAGGAGCCTGTTTTACCGGAGGTCTTGTGTTATTTAAGAGAAAGCCACTCACATTAACCACAGAAAACCTGGAGGCACTTCTCTACCACTTCAACCAATGGTATGAGTTTAGGGGCCGGACTATGAAAGATATAAGAGTTGCAATTGTTGCTAGTTGCACAGAAATCGCTAATAGTAGCTTTAATGTCATGTTTACATTTATTTTCCAACCTAGAATGACTTATTCTGATTATGCTAGGTCCAAATGAGCATATACTAGCTTGCTTTGGCATAGACTGTGGTGTTCTGGGATGAAAATACCAACTTTTTTATCCCAAAGTGATTCTCCCAACAAAGCAACATCTTCAGTTTTGCAGGCACCTCAGTGATAGCAAACCTCAGAAATTTCCATCGCTAGTTCAAGACATTCCCCTGTTTCATGGCAGGCGTCCATAAGGCCACAGTCTAAATCACAACTGCAGTTCCAGCTGTTATTGTGCGCAGGTTCCGCGGGTGGTGAGAAAAGCATGTAGGCAGGGCAGATGGAGTTAGCAGCTTGCTCGCATGTTTCAGGAAGCATAAGGAACAAGTCGTAGAATCGGCAGAAGAGACAATTCAGCACAATCCCGGCACAGAGCTCTGAACAAAAAGAATAAGAAATCATGGGATTGTGGACAGTCAAAAGGGAATGCAAAATTTATTATTATGTCATTCATAATGCTTCATGGTATTGTAGTTCTTTCCTTCATCAAAGTACACAGTCTTGTACATTTGTCTTTTTGTCTGATTTTCAAATACTTTTTTGCTTCAAATCAAAGTTTGCGATGTTGTTCACATCATACATGGTTGGTTTGGTTCACGACTTTGCCTCTTTGACATTCTGAAAAATCCCTATAGTGTAAAATACTAGTACTTTTATGTTCCAACTTCCAAGGGTTTCAGGCAGAAATTAGATTATGCAAAAAATGTAATTTTGTGTGCTTATTCACAAAATGCTAACTATAAAATTATCATTAGCAAATCAAAAGAAACGGCTAAAAATGTTTAAAATGTAATTTCCACTGCTGTTTATTTCCATCACCGCATGTTATCAAACAAAATGCATAATATGAAGAAAATCTCTGAAATATGACAAAAATTACAGAATTCTCCTGTGACGCATGTATATAAACCACTGGACATTGTTAGTGGGAAAATGAAATAAACTAGCGAGAGAAATGTGTTTTTTAAGAGTTTATACAGGGCCAAAGTGTCCATAGTTGAAGAAACACCCTTAAACATCTGTAATGTACAAAGAAACTGCATTGGGGGAAAAAAATGCTTTTGAGTGGCCGTCTCTAGCAGAGCTAAGTTATGATATTGCTGAAACGTTTTGAATTAATTTTAAACATTAACAGACAGGCTTTATAACTACTGTATATACTACAGTGCATCACAACATGCATCCATTTAGAATTGAAATGATCACATCTGTCTAACACACATGCTTTTACTGTCACATAATACGTCAAAAAGCACAAAAGTGAATGATGTCAGAAATGCTCAGAATGACATGGCACCATCATGCCAATAGCTTAAAAAGCCCATAGAGTGTTACATATGTTATTGAACCTAAATGCCTCTTTGAAAACTCTTACCTTGAGATCTCGGCTGATGGGGATAGACACTTAAAGGCCCTTAATGACCTGGAGTCTGTCCGCACCTCTTGTATACAACAGTTTAAAAGCCTCCCAGATCTCGCTAGGCACTTCTGTACACATGCATAATTTACTGAACCACCTTTTCCTTCCAAAGAGAGAAGGAATAGAGATGTGTGGAGATGTAATCAATTATCATCCATCTGTTTAGGTGTTTTTCCCTTCCAGGCACTTTCAGGTGATTACATAAACAGGGGGATGACACAGAATCAAAAAATTGGGGGGATTTTAGTGTAGTCGACTTAATGTGATGGTCTGTTTTTAAGAAACGTTTCCACACAGCCCAGGGTTTTGTGTAAAAAATAAATAAATAAACCAAGCTTCAAATGGGGCTTTCAAGATTTAAGGCCCAATCCCAATTCTATTTTATACCCATTCACATACCCTGAAAATATTCCCCTAAGAAATGAGACACCACTACTACACTGTTACATGTGTAAACCTCGACACTATGACATAATGACTGCACCTTAACTCATCTGAACCTACCGGCTAAATGAGGGGAAATACTATATTGTTCTAATTAATTTCATATTGAAAAAGCTGTTGAATCATAATAGTCACGCACAAGAGTTCTCTGCGCATGGCTTTAATCATTGATCTCTATAGTTTTTATTTTAAATTATAGATAGATTTGAATAATTTACTATTTAAAAATGCATAATTATATGCTTGTGGCAACCATAGACTGTAGGTGGCAACACATAAATTCAAATTTATCAAAAAAAAAAAATCAAAGGATTTTTTTTTTAAACAAGATAAATATAAATCCAGCGCTCATTTGAGAGAAAATTAGTAGTTGAAATTTTAATTCAAGACAATTCGCGGTGGCAGTTCATGTTGTAATTATTATTCATTAGAGCACTTTTGGGTACTATGGTGGTCTGGGAATGAGGAAGCTGGCCAATCCGCAAACCCAGGTGTGATGATGCGTGACTCACCTCCTCTCTCCTGGGAGTCAGATAGGGAGCTGCTGGAGGAGGAGGCAGTGCTGTACCTGTCCACTGAGCATAAGGAGTACGTGAATTCTGTAGAGCCTGTTTCTGCTTCTCTCTCCCAGTGATCCAGCTCAGGAATTGGCGAGAGCCTCCCAGGTGTGGATACCTCCATTACTGCAAAAGAGAAAGAGTTTTTGAATAATCTGTATGTTTACACTTAAGCATATTGAGCAAGATATGGTTGATTTACACTCACCTAGTAAGAGATTATACAAAAGGTTTTCATAAAATCCTCTAAAGCATAAAAGGAAAAAGTCATCTAAAAAAGAAAATTCTGTCATAATTTTAAAACCTGTACGTCTTTCTTTTTTCCAAATAACAAAAAAGGAGATTTTTATAGCATGAATATCCATATAATTAAAGTGAACGGGGTCGTGGACCATGTTTTCAAAACAGGATTTCCAGTAAACAATGACATAAATTTATTTTCCTCGCACAAAACTATGATGTGACTTCAGAAGAGTTTGAAAATAGTGTCAGAGTTGTATGGGGAAATTTTATTTTTTTGTCCTTTTTGGATCTTCACTGCCCTGGTCCCCATTCACTTTCACTGTAAGAGTGTAGAATAAATAATGGTTCCACATTCACAATCCTCATTAAAGCCATTAAGTACATAGTCTTTTCAGCTTCAAATCAAAGTTTGTAATGTCACCCCATAGCTGGTTGCAGGGGCGTAGATTACGCGGGGGACGCGGGAGATGTGTGTCCCCTCCCCTATTAAATAGTAGAAACAGTATTATAGTTCGAATTGAGCCATGTACTGTACCCACCAAACAAATGAATCACGTGTTCATTGTATATGTACTCGTACATAATTTTCCGAGACAGTGTAGATGTGTGTGTGTATATATATATATATATATATAACATTTCTGTCCCCCTCACTTCTGAAATGATGGCTACGGCCCTGGCTGGTTGGTTTGATTCATGGCTTATAACTCTTTAACAAAGACTTTTGAAAAATCCCCGAGGGAAAAATGAAAGGGAAAAGGCCTCTGAAAAAGTGGGCGGGCACTATTGCACTCTATATTCACATCCCAAACTCATGCCATTGTCTGAGCCAGAAACCAACATTTCGTCAATAGACTCATACAAACAGCAATGTTTTGAAAGTGCCACAGAGCCAGTTTTGGAAAGCTTACTTATATATTTGTCTCTGCACATTTAACTGGTCAAAAGAGAAATGTAATTTTTGCAGTGCTCAAATACATCACTTTTAAATACTCTATACATCCCTGTCAGTAACAAATCCGCCATTATATATGCAGAAGAATCAATGTTCTCTAATCCACCATGTCAGTTCTCATTTCAAAAGTTCTTTCATCCTGAAGCAATGTTTATCAAGGCCTGTCTAGAAAACATGCTGAGATGTGTTCCCGTGCTTTCACTGGTCTCAAAGTAAGCCCAGAAATCATTCAATAATGAATCTGCCAGATCTGAATGCAAACTATTAATGAATCATTGCTTTGGCTGCACTACCTACCTTGTTTATTTTTTCTTCCACCTATCCCAAATGAATTATTCATTGTGCTTCTCTCTCTTTATTTAACATTTAATGTCTTATGATTAATTAACACACGGGACATATTTTCCCTAGAGGAATCTGCATTGTTAGTCCAAAATAAAAAAGAGAAGGGGAAAGACAAATGAAAATGGCTTTGGGCTGTATTGGCCTTTTTTCTTCTCTCTCTCTCTCTCTCTCTCCCGCAGATTGAATAATTTAGAAAAGGGGATAAAGAATTGTTTCTCCAGAAAGTTCTGTGGTTTCTTCACTGTGTTCTCGCTTTGTGAAGTGAACGTGTCATGATATGACAGATGTAGAAGATTAATCTTTCGTGTTTTATTACAGGAGAGCGCATGCTCTTCGACAAAACAATCGCAGGGTTTAAACAGCAGCTTCGAAATGAGCAGATTCTCAGGTGTGCCATTATCAGCTGTTCACAATCACAGCTGTCAGGCATAACCATTTTATGCATGATATGATCTCTAATACAAATCTTTCTGATATATAAATGTGGGGATCTATGGAGTAGCTAATAGACAGTGTGACAACTAGCCCCAGTCTACCCTTATTTGAGTATACTAACTACACCATCATAAAAACTACAATTTTGGGGGATTTACTGGATGGGGAAAGGGATAGTCACAGTGAAAAAAAGGACAAAAACAGATCCATTAAGACAGGGGACCGGATTCGCCTATTTCTAACTGCTGTGAAAGCTAATGCACTGTTGCATCCTTCAATCAATAACCATCTCAAAACGAGTGAGAAAACATTATTCTCAATATGTCATGCACCAAACCAAAATCGTCTCAGTGTGTTAGACAATTATGGGAGCATGTTGGTTTTTATTTAACTTACCAGCTTTTACCAAAGAGCTTCTCTCTCCAGTTTTGATCAAATCAAGCTCGATTTCCGAGTTTTGTCCAGCCATCTGTCTTACAGTGTGATATCAAAACAATTGTCATATCAAGATCCGATTCATGAAAAAAGTACAAAGACACTGCTAAAGCTGTGTATGAAAACTTACCATTGATATACAGTTATCTTAGTGACGGCAATAGCAAGACATCACATGAGAGATTTAAGCATAATAACACAGATGCGCGACACGCCTTCAGCAACACAAAAAAATATTCCTATCGCACTTAAGCAGATAAAGCTATACGTCGCTATTTTACTAATGATTAGTTATAAAGAAAGTTGGTGAGATTGAAGATTACAGAAGCATACTGTCATCAAAGCAGATGCGAGGATTTCGTTTCTCTCACCCTCCCGCTAGTCGTCACTGCTGGTTTAAAGAGAGAAGCGACTTTGATTGACAGGTGTGACACACCCAAGTCTAGCGATGACGTCGTGACGTGTATTGCCTGACGGCTAAAACACAAGGTAACGTAGCCTTTTCTAAGTTTTGTCATTCAGAGATGATTAATTTAGTGGTAGATCTCATTATTCATGTTCAAACACGTCTTCATATGCATATTTGATGCTAAGGTTTCTAGAAGATGTCGCACTTTTTCCACAGTTAGTCGTTTTTTTGACCCTGTGGAACTCTCTTAAAACACTGTTTACACTCCACTAATAGTTTACTAAATTTAAATAATAACAGTGTCTAACAGCAGACATGCACATGCATTACAGACGAAATTTGTTTTCTTTCTGAACGCCAACAGTGTCATTCGTCCACATGGAAATTACGTTGGTGGAAATGACATTTTGACATTTTAGACATTTTTTGAAAGAAATATCAGACTCTTTTGTCATTTTAGCATTTTTTTCTGTTAAATTAAAATTTCAGTTATTTTCATTTATTATTATTATTATTATTATTATTATTATTTTCTTTTATTTATTTAGGCCTATTTATTTTTTTAAATACAGCTTGATTGGAAATGAAATGAGGCACATTAAAAATAATCTGTTGGCAAGTGATATTTACCTTGATTTTTATCAAGCATGCTTTTCACAAAAACTACTTGGTAAACAAGTACACAGATTTTAAAAAAACTTGCTAAATTTTTTTTGTGGTGGAAATGACACAACAACACTAAAAAAGTAATAATGTTCATGTTCATACAAATGAATATTGAAATATATTAGTATGTAATAGATTAGTTTTGCTCTTTTTACTCTGTTTAAATTGTCAGTTTTTTTATTATTAAATAATTCATTCATGATGGGTTTTCATATTCTAAGATTGAAAGTGAGTTCGTGACAATTATATAAAATCTGTACGTAAAAGGCTTGGAAAAATAAATAATCAAGGCATGGTAAAAACTTTCCAAGGCAGTTTGAATGTGAACTGGATATGAAGAGAGAGAGAGAGAGAGAGAGAGAGAAAATAAAGTTGTACGTGTTAATAAAAATCAACCCTTGGGACATAAAATTGTCATAAGTTGAAGAAACACCCAATTATAAATCTACTTTCTACGAGTTTCACAAGGAAAAAAAGCCTTTTTTATTCAGAGCCTTATGCTGTAGCCTGTAGCACTACAGTAGTTTTTTTCATTGCACACAAACATGTCTACACATACCTATTCACACAAAACAATCTTAGTTCAGCTTCTACAACACATGCTTCTCATATAAAAGCCAGTCAGCAGAGATAAACTGATAATGAGCTCTATTCACATTTCGCAAGGTTTACAAGCCTGCCAATTTACTCTAACTAGCCTGCAGATTAGAGTTGCATTTTAAAGGATGCCCTACTGTGTTTGCATATGTTTAGAGAACAAGGGGCTTGCTAATTGAAAAATTAAGATGTGGGAATGTTTGTGGGAGTGGACCGTGCCAGATGCCTTCTTCAACAGAGTGCTGGTTTCATGCAAAACAACTATAATACAATGAAATTGCTTGAGAACATTTTTTTTTTTAGAATACACGGTTCGTTTTGAATAACCGTCTGTGAGGAAATATTTATTTACATTTTTTTATATATAAAATTGCAGATATTTTGATAGCATTTACAGCATCTACCAGCAGGGGCTAATGGTTGATACTAACAAGCGCATTCCCCCTGTGTGAAAAAAATTACACACTTCACCTTTAAATAAATCGATCAAATATTGTAGGTTCAGTGCAGTTCGTTTCATCTACCAAAAAAAAAAATCACTTTAAAGGATTGCAATCTTAATAAGTTAAGATTTTATAAATATATCAAACTTTGCAAGGTTTTTAGGCTATTTATCATCTAACACCAACATGCAATGATATGCAGTTTTAATCAGTTATGTTTGCATATGTTTACAGAACAGAGGGCCTGTAAATGGAAAAAAAAATATGAATGCTGTACCAGATGCCTTGTCAAAAGCAAGTGTTAAACAAGTGCTGTGTTTTTAAGCTATATATCATGAAGACAACATAAAACGCATATATATATATATATATATATTT